CCCCTGTTTGAGAGTAACAGATCTTTAATTCTGTTGTTTATTTCTTTTCTTTTCCCCATTTCTAGTTCTTTTTCTGATTGAATCATACACTCATAAAGAGAGAGGCTAATGTTCAGAGACACTATTAGAATTTGTATGTCTCTGATTAAAGTTAACCAGTGCAATACTGAAGGGGATATTGCGTTATAATCTAATAGCCTTGGGTATGTGTGCTGTCAGACTTCCTGCTCCAGTGTTCAAGAAATCTGGCTTGGAAATGTTACAAAATAGGGGATTTATAATATAAAATAATTTTGAGGGAAACACTAAAAAATGGAAGTAGCAACTCTGCCTGGGTTTTGGATTACTTAGAACTCTTTAACTAGCTTATTTTTTGCATAATTTTCTTCCACGTGCACGCAGTACTTGTATAATAATGATGATCTATACACACATATGACTGCATGCATATATTTAGCTTCGTTGATATTGTGGTTGAGGACCCATGTATACAGTATAGAAAGGTGTCTGATAAATGAACAATTTGATGAACAAATAATATTTTCATCTAAATTATGGAGAAAAATTCTAACATTAGTCAGATTTAAATGATATTTTCTAATTATCTGATTTAAATGATTTTTCTAATGATCCTCTTAATTCTGTATTGGGAAGAGAAGTTAAGAGACCATCAATGTTTCCACCTTTTAAACATATTTTATAACAGGAGATACACGATGAGGTGGCGAAAAGTTCTTAGATTAAAAATATCTTAAATATGAAGAAAAGGTTCAACTTGAACTCTGATGCCAACACTTCTCCTGTGCGAATATGAGTCAAGGAAGCGCTACGCGGAGATGTTTCGAGAACAGCAGTTTTCCAGCCAGAGCAATTTTGCTCCTCGGCAGTATTTGGCAAGATTGGGAGCATCTTTAGGTGTCCAAATTGGGGTGATCCAGGGGTGTCTTGTGAGTAGAAGCTAGAAAGACTTCTGAACCTCCTACAAAGCAGAGAACAGCCCTTGAAAATAGAGATTATCTCACCCCAAATGCCAACGGAGACCACGTTGAAAAACGGTGTCTAGAGCCACTGCCGGTGGCCGGCTCTCACCAGCTGCTGGTCTTCAGCTGAAGACCCACCTCGAGGAGCTGTGATGAGCCTGTGGGCAGTGGGCAGTGGGGGCAGCAGGGCCCTTCGCAGGCAGCCCTGCCCCAGGCCATCCAACCCCCCCACCGGGAGGCAGAAGCCTGGGCTGGCCGGGGGCAGGAGGGCCCTTGGTAGAAGCTTAGTGTGCTGGACTTGGGAGAAGAAGCAAGACTATTTATTTTGAGAACAAATATCACCGTCCATTTTAGCAGAACTTCTGCCTCTTTTTTCTTGACAAGGAACTCACGTGTTTGCTGCCATCCAGCGAGGAGCTGGCGCTCACTGAGCCAGGGCAGAAGGGGCTGGACCTGCAAGGCCACGCTTCCAGGTCAGGGGGCACTGGGGTGGAGGAGTGGGCGGGGCAGGGGGTGACACAGCCCGGGGTGGTGTCTGTTTCGCTCTTTCAGACCTGGACAGCACAGCACTTGGCTCACCTTTCTCCTGCCTGTAGCAGAGGGGCTTCAGGATTTTTCCTTCTCATGTGAAAAAGCCAGACTTTCTCAGATCATCTTTGCGTTCTGAGACTAGGTCTAGGCTGCCCATGAGCTTTCTGTATGAATTTCCCAGCTCAGAGACACCCTGTGGGCTTTCCAAGCCACACGACTTCTGTGCTCGCTACCTGGCACAGGAGGGATGAAGTGAAATTCAAGCCTGTTCTCTTCCAGTGGGGAAGAGAGAGTGTGTGGCGAACCGTATACGAAATTAAATCCTGTCACCCAGTCATTAAGCAACTAAACCTAGATGTGTAGAAGATTTAATCCTGAGATAGAAAAGAGAGAGAGAGAGAGAGAGAGAGAGAGAGAGAGAGAGAGAGAGAGAGAAGAAAAAGTCCTTTTACAGATGTTTTAAAATTTAAATTTAAAAACCTATCCTGAGTTTACAAAAAGAAAGGTCTTGGGTTATCTTGGGTTATTGCAATTCATTTCTATTTTATTATAAAGGGTCAAACAGGTTCAAGTCAAAAGGGAAAGTGAATAATTTTAGAATTTAGAATATGTTTACTTTTGTGTTCTGCAAATTCTTTTATCAGAACATAGACACGCCGGCACCGGATGTTATCACTGACATGGACTTATTTATACACTAGAACATGCCAGGCCAGATACTCTGCTCTGCCTGCAAGCAGACTTTGCATTGTATTTACATTTCATTTGACTGAAGGGGGGGAGTGTTTTAAATTTAAGAGGGAAAGAGGATAAAGAACAAAACTAAATGCTTCCGATATGGTAACGGTTTTCCAAAGAACATCTATTCACCGGGAGAGAAAACATTTCATTCAACGTTAAATTAATTGATCAAAAGATGTGTCTATTTCATGTTTAATTTTCAGCAGAACCTTAGTATGTACTGACTGTGTTATAGGGCAGCCCGGATATTGAACGGGTTGCCTGGCTGTGGGTCCTCACCCGCGCTTACAAGGGACTTACGAATACTCCACTGCAGGCGCACACAAATGGTGGCAAAAAGTGAAAGGGGGGAATTGTTAGGGGGAAAAGGCTGTCCTAAAGCTAATTCCATACAGGCTGTGTGGACTCCACCCCCACCCCAGGCCAAAGCCAAAGACACTGGGAACTCCACATCCCATCCCCACCCAAGGGAAGGTGGCTGGGACCTGAGGGTGGGGTTCAGCAGCCAGGTGGGTATAAAGCCAGACACGTGGGCTTTGGCGGGGGGGGGGGTCCCCCATTTTGGCTCTCGGCCAGCTCGGAGAGTGCCTTTGGGTTTCCAGGTCGGCGGATCGGGTAGGACGCATTAAAGACTTTATTTCCCTATTTTCTTGCTGAGTTGTACATTTTCCTTATTTCCTTTTCCCTTGTCAATAAACCTTTTATTAACCTTTTGTGTGTGCCTGTGGTGGAGTATTCATAAGTCCCTTGTAAGCGCGCGGGTGAGGACCCACAGCCAGGCACCCGTTCAATATCGGGGCTGCCCTATAACAGCTGGCGCCCAACGTGGTGTCCACGCTTCACCCGGGGTTGATCAGCCCAAAGTAATTTCTCTTGCGTTGGTCACCACAAAGCGCACTAGGTCTGCAGGACTCGCCTTTAGGACATCCTTTTCCCCTAACAATTGGAAGAAGCTTTAGGGTGAGAATAAACTTGCAGAGCGGCTGTATCCACCTGTGTGTCTAGACGGTCCTGAAACGCCGGGCAGCGGGAGGGGGGGAGCCCCGAGGGTCAGCGCCCGGCCAGGCCGCTGGGCGGTCACCGCGTGCGGCTTCCAGCAGCCCCTCCTCGAGGGCACCGGGCAGCGCCTGGCGCGCTCTGCCGGGCGGCGGCGGCCGCTCCCCGCCCGCGCTCTGCCACCGGCCTGCGAGGGCGCAGCTCGCCCGCAGCCTGTCCAGGGCAGGCGCCGCGGACGGCCCGACCCGGGCTCCTCCAGACCTGGGCGGCGGGCGCGCCTGCGGGGCGCCGGGTCTCGAGGGCGCGGGGCGGGGAGGGCGACGCGCCCGCCGGGGGCTCGGGACAGCGACCCTCGCGGGCGCGCACAGCGGGCGCCGGCACCCCCGGCCGTCCGCTCCCGGCGCTCGGGTGGGCGGGGGCCGCGCGGGCAGGGTCGGGGCGGCCCAAGACCGAGCTCGCCCCGTCGCCGGCGGCGCAGTCCCGGTCCCGGAGCCCCAGCACTCGCCCGCGCGCCCGTGACTTTGCTGGAACTCCCCGAGCCGACGCTAAGGGGCACCAGAGGCCGGGCTGCGGCGGCTGCCGCCGGGGCGCCCGGGGGCCGCTGCGCCAGTCCGGGGCGGGGGCGCAGGCCGCGCGCGTGGGGGGCGCGGGCGGGGCGCCCCGGCTGGGGGGGAATCCTCCGCCGTCCGCGGCGTCGGGGCCGGGGTGTCGGCGGCGAGGTTTCTTCCCGAGGCCGCTGCGTCCCCCTCCGACTGTCGAGCACGAGCGGCCGCACACTCGCGGCGCGTCCAGCGCGCCCACCCTCGCGCCACCTGATTCCAAACAGCCCCGGACGGACGCGCGGGCGCGCGGGGCGCCGCCGAGCTCCGGGTGGCAGAGGGACCCACGGCCGCGCCTCGCGTCTCCCCGCGCCCGGCCTGGCCCCGGGAGCAGCGCTTCCCCGGCGCGGGCAACACCCCCCGGGGGCCGGGAGAGCGCGCGGCGCGGGCGCCGGGCGGGGGGCCGGGCGGGGGGCGGCGGGGGGCGCCCCGCGGCGGCGCGCTCCGGGCTCGGTGGGACCAGAACCCGCAAGGACAGGGGGTGCGGCGGGGGCCGGGCGAGCGCCGCCGGGGGCCCCGCGGGCGCGCTCCCCTCCCCGCCCCTCCCGCCCGTGCGTCCTCGCCGGCTCGCCCCCCTCCCCCGCCCGGCCGAGCGCGGCCACTGCGCCAGGATGGGGCGCTCCCGGCGCGGGAGGAGATGACGCAAAGCCAGCGCTCCCCCCAAAAAGTCTCTCTCCTGGACGAAGATGGCGGCAACTTAGCCGGGGCCTGAAGATGACTGTGGCTCTCGGGAGGCCCAGCCCAGGCGATTCGGCCGCGCGGTCCGGGGGCGGCGGCGTCAGCAGTCGGGGCCCCGCGGCGGGCAGACCTGCGGCAGCGGCCGGCGCGCGGGGTGGGGGGTGGGGGGGAGGGAGCGCCCCGCCGGCGGCGGCCGCCCAGGCTCAGGGCGCGGGGAGCGCGAGCGCCAAGTAGGAGCCGGAGGCGGCGGAGACGCGGAGCAGGCCGGGCCGCAGGAGCGCGGGCGGCGGAGAGGCGCGGGGGGCGTCTGGGCGCCGGCAGCGGGCAGCGGGCGGCGGAGACGCGGATGCCCCCGGCCGGGGGGAGCGGGCTGCGCCCCGCGGGGCCATGGGGACCGGCGCGCTGACCATGCCCGGGTGACGGGGCAGCGCCCGCGCCCGCGCGCCGCCAGCACCTCCACCAGCACCACCAGCACCACCAGCACCCGGCTCGCCACCGGCCACCAGCCCAGCCTCCTGCGCCCCCCTCTCTCTCTCTCTCTCTCTCTCTCTCTCTCTCTGTCTCGCTCTCGCTCTCATTGTTCCCACTCTGCAGGGCATGGGGTCGGCTGATGATTAGGGTGGAAGCAAGTCAGATCTTCCTCCGAGGCTGGTAATATTTATGTAGGCAAAGAGAGAGGGAGAGACCAGAGAGAGAGAGAGAGAGAGAGAGAGAGAGAGAGAGAGAGAGAGAGGGAGGAAGGATCGGGAGGAGGGGATAAGGAAATTAAACCCTTTAAGTCAATGCATATTGTGGTGACACCGGCACAGGAGCCCTCACGGTGGAGTCGGCCAGGGCTGTGCGTTCCCAAAATATGACCAGGGGTGCCTGGATGTGTCGGCAGTATGACGACGGCTTAAAAATCTGGTTGGCAGCACCCCGGGAGAACGAGAAACCGTTCATCGATTCGGAGAGGGCTCAGAAATGGCGACTGTCTCTGGCATCTCTCTTGTTTTTCACAGTCCTGCTCTCTGATCACTTGTGGTTCTGCGCCGAGGCCAAGCTGGCCCGCGCCCGGGACAAGGAGCAGCAGCAGCAGCAGCAGCAGCAGCATCAGCAGCAGCAGCAGCGGCAGCAGCAGCGCCAGAGGCAGCAGCAGCAGCATCAGCAGCAGCAGCAGCAGCCGCCGCGGCCGCGGCCGCCGGAGCCGTCCTGGCCCACGCTCCTGGCGAGCATGGGGGGGCCCGCGCCCGCCGCCCCGACACACCGAGTCCTCTCCGCCCCCGCGTCCCCCACCCTGCCCCCCTCCCCGGGAGACGCCGGCGGCGGCCGGGGCGGCCGAGGCCACCGCAACCAGAGCGCGGCTCTTCTTCTAGGAAACTCTGCCCGACCCTTGTGGCGCCTGGAGACCTGCTACCCCCAGGGCGCGTCCGCGGGCCAGTGCTTCACGGTGGAGAGCGCGGACGCCGTGTGCGCCAGGAGCTGGAGTCGGGGGGCGGCGGCCGGCGGCGAGGGGCGGCCGGGGCGGGCGCGCACCCCGCGCCGCGCTGGAACTTGTCGGATTTTTACCTTTCGTTTTGTAATTCCTACACACTTTGGGAGTTGTTCTCGGGCTTGTCCAGCCCCAACACTTTGAACTGCAGTCTGGACGTGGTGCTCACGGAGGGCGGCGAGACGGCCGCCTGCAGGCAGTGCGTCGAGGCGTACCAGGACTACGACCACCACGCCCAGGAGAAGTACGAGGAGTTCGAGAGCGTCCTGCACAAGTACCTGCAGTCGCAGGAGTACTCGGTGAAGTCGTGCCCCGAGGACTGCAAGGTAGGCGCGCGCGCTCTTCTTGGCTCTCCCCCCCCCCCCCCCCCCCGTGCTGCTTCGCTTGGCGCGACTCCTGGACTTTTCAGATACTTTTGTTGGCTCTGGTTTCGGGGCTCCAGGCCTGGGTTTGTGCTTCGGGCAGCTTGAGCGTGCTGCGGGAGCTGGGCACACCTGGTGGAGTGGTGCTTTCTCCTGGGGAGCCTTGGGAGAGCAGGGAGAGGTCTTTGGAGAGTATGGTCTTTGGAGAGGAGGTGCTGGGGGCTGCCATGATCTCCCACAGCCGCCGCCCTTCTTGACAAATGGGATTTCACTGTGGCTGGTCAGGGAGACCGCCGTGGGGCTGCCCGCTGCTGACCCCGGCTGTGGTCAGAAGGGTTGGAGCTGGGTGTGTGGCTTGGCGTGGGGATCTGCAGGTGTGAGCTCTGTGACGGTGAAGCTGGCTCTTCGGTTGGGCAGGAAAAGTGTCGTGGTTGTTTATGTGGGAAAGCCAAGAAGCATTTACCTGTCCCGCAGGGGTGGTTCTGGTTGTTTGGAAAGTCTGGAGGCTTAAATGACCGCATTTGCTCACCCTGAGTTTCTTCTTTTCTCCTGTATAATTATTGGCCCGAGAGTGACTTGGAGTGGAAAGTTTTAATCAAGTCTCTGGTGATCAATGATCAGCGTGAGGTTGTTTATCAGACATCTTACGTAATTAGCTTGAATATTCAGAAGTACTAACTGGCAAATGGTTGGTGCTAGGAATAAAAAAAAAAAAAACTGTACTCTCCCACAACTCATCTTCAACCCCTTCTTCTTGAATCTGCTAATGGTTACAGCTCTTGGGGAGTGACCAAGGAGCCCTCTAGGCAAGTTTCTCAGAAAAGGCCGGAGCAGCCCCAGGCAGGAGTCCTGGGGGCGGTGCCACTGTCCGTGGTGCTGAAACGAGGTTTGCCCAACAGCTCTGTTGTAAGTGAAGATGCTGCAGTGACCTTTCAGGAGGGAAACCATGATGACCGGGGCGCAGTGTGCCTTAATGTTTTGTTCCAAGGGTACCTGCCCAGACAGCACAATAAAATCGTGCTGCTTTTCAAAAGAAACAACACATCATGTTCTCTCTTCCCTGCTCCCCCAAGCCCCACGCAGGAACAGAACTGTCGCTCTTTTGCCTCACTTGCTTTGTGCTGGGGAAGTGTCACCAAGGGCAGTGTGAATCAGAGGATTTTGTGATGCTTTGACAAGAAAACTGGGCTGAGCAAAGTCTAGTTAAAATGACCATAGTTCAACGAGCGTATTTTAACTTGGGTGAACAACCAGTTGTGCTTTTGACTACTAAGGTAAACACAATGTAAACTCGCTTTGTCAACATTATTTAAGACCAGGAGCAGATCTTTGCAAATAGTAGTATTAAGTTGGCAGCATTAATTTAGAATGCTACTTCACTAGATAAATGGACCTTAAAATTTCCTTCCTAGTGTTCCTTAGCCAAACCACTCTACCTTATGCTGGGGAATTAAACTTATTCTTAATGGTAGAAAGTAATGATAAGTGACTAGTGTATTTATTGCATAGTTATTTATTTTGACAAGATATGTTGCATCATAGTTGTGGAGGTATGGATATCAATGTGTATGATAAATCCTTTACCAATAAAAATGTTGCTAAGGGTTCAGCATATTGATGTTAAAAAGTGGTTTCTTGTAGTGTGGGAATTTGCATGCTGCCTTGAATGTAATCTTGCATAGAAATTTCTAGTAATTTCAGTCTGAATAGGATCAATATTGAAAAGATACTCTGCATTGTTCATCGACTGCAGTGTATTTTTCAAATAAGCATCTCAAGCATCTCTCTGTTCAAATGTACACATTTTAAATATATTTAATTTTTTGTTTATCCTTAACCTGCATTGTTTCAAGTTTTATTATAATAGTTATAAGGCATAGTGCAGTTAAAACTAATTTATAATATGATGAAATAATTCTGCAATCTGTTTTTGTATAAAGTATTAGTTGTTAGTTGTATACACAAAAGGCATATAAAAATTCTAGCCCCTTTTAGAAAAATGTCTTCTTTGCTTTGAAAATTAAACACAAACTTTTAGTTTTTCATCAGAAAAAATGTAGAATCTTATTGTCTGTGGTGGATGGTGGTGTTCTTGGTTGTGGGTTTTACTTTTTAGCTTGGCAATTCAAACCTTTATTCTAAAATCACTGTTTTCAAATATTACATTTTCAATGTAAGGTGCCTGCTTTCTTGATTGATAATTCACAAGTTGATAGGTTAGTTCCTTAGTTTAATACATATTTTTTAATGGTTCTGAAACAGCCACAGCCACAATCACATACAAAACCATAATACCTAACTTAAAAAACTTCTTATTGTTTTTGAAGAAGGTGTCTGAATTTTTTCTAAGTACTTTTACTTACTTCAAACATATATATAATTATGACTATAAAAGGTCACTGTCATTAGGAGCTTTGTTTGAGATACACATTCTATTCAGTTTTTCATATTTTAAGGTAGGTACTAAGTCCTAGACTACATTAAAAGTAAATGCAATATATTTCTGGACTTGGTCACTCGTTTATGGAAAAATCTAATTTTCATAGTTTATAAATATATTTATTTAAAATACAGGCAGGAGAATACAATCAATCATGTGAGTTACATAAATCACCGGAGTTAATATTTTGGAAGAAATATAGTAGCTTTGTTATTCCCATATATTATTAAATAGTTAATGCAGTGACTTCTAACTTTGAAAATTAAGGACATACTGTCTTCTATTGATAGTTTTTAAATCTCTGCCATTTAAGAAACATACCACAGGCCAAATATATATATATATATATATATATATATATATAATTGAAATGGATTTAAGTTCACTTTTATTTAAATTGCTTTAGACAACTTTGGACACATTGTGCTAAAAAACAAAAACAATATATATCCTTAATGTGGATCTAACTGGATCATAGTATCTTGGACTCATAGTAATTAGAGATCAAATGCAACTTGGATACATTGTAGTGAAACTGTGTATTGCAGTGCACAACAGACATCAGTTGAACCCAAGGCTATTTTCTAATATTCGGAGAAATAGTTGGTTTATTTTCTTAAAAATGAAACATACATATTTATCTAGGAGGTGTTTTATAGAAAAATAAAAATCAGAACTGTTTCACATATCATTTATAGTATTGCTTTCAAGCTGCTATCTTACATAAATCAAACAGCAACATTATGATAATAATTCTGCTCTGTAGTTTGCAGTGTTACTCAAAATAATTTTTGACATATAATAAGAATCTGACGGATCTGCAAAAATCTTCAAGTTGACTGGCAATATTAAACATTTTTAATATTCTAAGCTATAAAATTACCATCTACATTATTGACAAACTTGACATTTAAAGATTTTTTTCTTAAATATGCCACTCTTAGTCTACTAAGCACTATAAAAACACGGATTATAAAACTGGGACATATAGGGCATAGAAATGTGTCTTCTTGTAGGTAAACTTTTGTAGTCACTGATAGCTTTATTCACTTACTGTACCTTCAGAGATAATGGTCAGTGGCAGCGGGTTTGAGATTAAATTCTAAAATGAATTGTTGATATCTGGACTTTAACTCTTGGGGAATAAATTCCAATTTCTTTGCTATCAAAAATATACTCTCATAGTTTTGTTTTTATAGTCTCATATTAAAGCAGATTCCTCTGACAGTTTTTACTTAACAGATGCTGAACAAGAGGATTCTTTGCCAGTGTCAGGTATTACAACAGTTGTGGCACCAGAGGGTTTTTGTCTGGTTTACAGGAACTGCTCAAAATGTCCATCCTTTTAGCAACTTAGCATTTGGGTAATATAATATAATGTGCAATTTGAAAAAGAAGCCTTTTTTTTAAATCCCTGTTTATTTTGGTGGCATATACTATATGTAGATTTTTAAAGAAATAGATTATTTGAAAAGAAAATCAATTACCTTTCCAATTAACTATGAATATGCAATATTATTTTGTTATGGATTAAGTGCCACTATGCATATTCTGAATGTGTCTAAAAATATATCTGCAAATAGATTTCTTCTACATTCTACCACTTGTTTATTCTCAAATCATATTTTATAGTTGAATTGCTTCTCTGTAAAACCAAACAATCTAACAATGCAAATGTTTACCGTTAGGAAGGCCATTCATAAGGTCAAAATCATCATAACCATTTTATAACCCTGATTTTATATTTTTGCTCTGCATATAACTCCATTTATGGTATGCAATTTATTTTTATGGGAAAGCACCCAAAATTTTATCATAACACTAGTTGGTTTCATAGACTAAAGAACCCTTATATTTATTTTGGATTTGAAACTGGGTCAAACTAGTAGCTACATAGAGCATCATGGGGAAGTTTTAATAACGCTGCTCTACACTGATTTTAATCACTTTTGCTAGGTGAGGTTGGGGTCTGCATATGCAGGAGAGTTACAGTCTAAAGAAAGGAAAGTGAAGTTCTCAGGCTCCACAAATGTACACTATTTGAAATAAAAGAAGAGGTTTGGCTTGAAGTGACTGACCTATTGGTTTAATTAAAATTCCCAGTTTCCTTTTTAAATCTCCCAGCTTTTCTGTTGCCCTCACATGGAGGAGGCACCTGACATTTCTTTGTTTACTTTGTATCCTGTGCAATGCTAGGCTGGCTCTTCAGTTACCAGAAACACTTAAGGTGGCTCAGTGACTCATGGGGTCACAGTGGCACATCCTGGGGATCTTGGAAGGTTTCCCTGGTTCTCAGGGGATTCTGATTTCATTGATCTGGCTATGTCCTGGGATCTTCTGCGTTCCCTGGTGATGCCACCTACTTTGAGAACCGTTCTCTGTTCTAGTTGACAGAGACAACTTATGTGGAAAGACCTTTAAGCGCCTCTGCCTCAGGAGCATGTAATAATCTCCTGTGTTCAGCTGATGACAGTGGAACTCAGACAAGCGTTTTACATGGTAAAAGCAGTAGGTCCATGACAGA